CGGTTCTTTCATTGTTGCACAATTTGAACTCAATATTTTGGACCTTATTTTTCAAGCTCTTTTATGTACACTCCCACAAAAATGTACTGGTTTGGGGTTAATTGACTGTCTGGAACCCCTCTTGTATAAGACAAAATGTAACTTCTAGTGCATTATGTAGATTTGGCAGTCAAATTATATCCAATAAAATATAACCACTAATATAAATGTCTGTTATAACATGGTTAGTTTACTGAACAGATGTTTCACCAATCATCCAGTATAAATGTTGATTTCATCCTAGTAAAATATTTTATTTGATTTACAAAATTGTTCTAGTGTTATATTTGAATAATAAAGCATATGAGATTTTTTAGTCTTAGTAAATAAGATTATATTTTTTGTACTAAAACTATCCTCTATCCCATTGAGACTAAAAAAAAAAAAAACACATGGGAAGACTATCATTTATTTGTGTCTGGAGTAATGGCACACTACTACTTCAGTAATAAAACTTTGGCTTGCTTTCTTTAATATTCCAGTAAGTATACAAAAAATTCATTGTCTTTGCTTAAAATTTTCAGTCTAACTCTTCCATGAATAATGAGATTCCCCCTGCATAAAATAGAATTTCCATCCTGCCTTCGATTGTACATGCCCATTAGTTTACACCTGTGTTCTTTTCCATACACTGCTCTGCTTACAAAAATAAAACAGAAATTAAGATAATATTTTAAATATATTTAATAGAAGATTTATATTTTAACAATATTAGTAGATGAAAATATGAACAATGGTAAAATAAATTGATAAAAATAATTACACACGGAAAGTTTCTATAATACTGGCTATACACTGATAAATGATATATTTTTATTTTTAAAAATTTTATTTCACCTGAGGACCTCTGGTGATGCAATCTAAAAGGAATTGCACAGCTAACCATCCCTTTCTCATGGTTAAAATTCACCAGTGAAGGCAAATTCACCAGTGCAGGAGAAAAAGGAGCAATCTCCTCCTGTTCAATGCCAAACTTCCCTACTGATGAAAAATGGTCATAACTTGAAAGTTCAGATCAGAGAATTTAAAATAAATATTTAGCTGTAGCTTTACAAAATATGCAATTAAACTTCTTGATGTTTAAAACTTAAAATTTAATGATATATGTACAGTGTTGTTGTTGTGTACCATAGAGTCAGAACTGACCCACACCTAACCCTCTAGCAGGGCTTCAGAGGCCGATATGTAGGGTACATTCCCTGAAATTTGTTATCCTTGGAGCAATATAATTTCTAGATGTAATTTGAATGGCAAATTGTTATGAACTATATGTATAATTGCATGTGTATCTTAACTACAACACTATTAAACACTGTAAATGCTAAATGTAGATTTCTAATTTTTCTTTTTGAAAAATTAATTTGGAATATTTCTTTATAGGAGAGTTGGTAACAGTATAACCACTTTTCTGTTGAAATGATTTCTACAGTTTTTACATATAGAATAAACGATTTTATTCTCTTTATCTTGGTTCGTAGCAAGAATTTTTCTAATTCTCTTGAATGTAGTTTGAGGCATATATCTAGTTCATTCAAATGTAGCAAAAACATAAATTATATGAATTAAAAGATTAATATCTAGAATAATTTATAGGCCATGGTATTCACAATTACTTGATATGTATCAGAGAGCTGGATAATGACCAAGGATGACAGAAGAAAATTGATGTCTTTGAATTGTAGTGCTGGAGAAAAATCTTGAACATACCATGGACTGTCAAGAATATAGATAGGTCTGTCTTGAAGAGGGTGAAACCAAAATTTTCCTTGTTGGCTAGAATTTTGAAACTCCATTTCATATACTTTGGGCATATGAGTAGAAGAGAATGGTCTTTGGAGAAGGACATCATGCTCAGAAGGGAGGACGGACAGCTCAGGAAAGGAAGACATTGGATGAAATGGATTGATACAGTAACTGGGGCAATGGGGATGATTGGGGTGTCAGAATTAGTGAGACTAGCTGGGACAGGGCAGGCTTCAGCAGTTCTTTACGTAGAGTTGCTATGGTTCACAGGCAACATAACAACTGGGAATTATTAACTAGTATCTCAGGAGTATCCCAGTTATAGCCTTTTGTTAATAAAAATGGCATTTGCTTAATCAGAAAAGGCTACATATTTCTATTGCTTTCTGTTAGGGACCTCTCCAAAGTACTGAAGAGCAATTGTGTCTCTCTGGAGACTAAGGTGTACCTGATACAGGCCATGGTCTTTGCAATCACTTGCTATGTGTCAGAGAGATGGACAATTACTAGGGAAGATAGGAGAATTAATGCCTTTGAGCTATGGTGTTGGAGAAGAGGATTGAATATACCATGGACTGCTAAGAAAACGAACAGGTTCAACCTGGAGAGGGTTAAACCAGGCTGCACCTTGGAGGCAAGGATTCTGAAACTTTGACATGACTTTGGACATGTTATAAGGAGAGACCAGTCCTTGGGGAAGGGCATCATGCTTGGGAGGGTAGAGGGACAGTGCAGAAGAGGAAGACCCTCTATGAGGTGGATTGATTCAGTGACTGGGGTAATCAGGGTGGGTGTGTCAGAGACAGTGATATTGGCACAGGATGGAGCAGGGTTTGGGGCTGTTGTATATAGGGTCACTATGAGTAGCAGGCGACTCCATGGCATATAACAACAACAACAACATTCATACATTAGAGCCTATAGTGGACTTTGTAGTCAGAATCAAAAGCTAATGAAAAGTCAGTAAAATGCAGAAACAGTTAACATGTTTTCCTTAAAGATTGCTTCTCAAAATAGTAACTGTGTCTGGTGTGGAAAACATATGTCAAAAGCAACTCCTCTTTCACAATCTTGCTCCTTCCTCACCTCCAACTCATAAGCTCATGTAACTGGCCTGAGATAATCAAGTCTTCAAATTATCAGATAGGGAATTGACAACAACTTTAGAATGCAGAAATTACAAAATACATCTTCATTTTGGGGGATAAAAATTATGTATTTTGAAAAAATGTTATAGGTAACACTCTATATACAAATAGCAAAACATAGAGCTAAGAGTCAACATTTATGCACTATCTTACTTTGTGTAATATAGTCATCTTATTTTGACAACAAGAATAATAACAAATCCTAGTTTCTTCACCTGTAAAATTAATAATCATCATAAGCATAAGGTTTTTGTGAAGCTTTAAAGCATAAAATGTGCACTATGTTTAGAATAAATTTGCATATTGTAAGGTTTCTATAAGCATTATTTACAATTATGCTTATTTCTGTACCAACTGAGATAATTGGGTCCAAACATTGACAAGGATAATACTGAGCTATCATGGAGTGGCTTGGGAGATAGGAAACTTTCTAAACGTATTTATAAGATGATCTTGTATGTTTTTATTTGTTGTTGTTGTGTTGTGTACTATCGAGTCAAAACCAACTCATAGCTGACCCTTCAGTAGGTTTTCAGGGGCTTAAATCAAACTGTGGGAGATTGCCCACCCTTCTGCTATTGAAGAGCTGTCAGATTTGAACCACCTGTCTTTGGGATTGCAGCACAGTTTCTTACCACTAGGCCATCAGTGCATTAATGTTCTTTTATTTTGTACTTCATCAAAATTTCATTAGCATATACTATTTTTATATATACTTTCCAGAAATGGATTTTGATAATTTGGTTCCTAATGTTCCCTCCTCTGACTAATTGCTTGATTCCACCCTCCATTACTTAATCTTTCTCCTTTTGTAAAAGTACATTTTATAGAGTCTAAACTTTTTACAAATATCTTTTCCTTTTTAATAACATGTGCTGTAAAATGATACCTTTTGTTTTAACTTGATTAATGCCAATTTTTGAGCATATACAGAGACTAGGGCAGGTATGTTTTAAATGAGCTTGTAGGTGATTTATATAAGTGCTAAATGCATCTAAGAAAGCTTGTATCTTACAAGCATGAGTTCTTCATTTAGGTAAAAATTTTATCACTTTTTAATTATCTTTACCACTATTGCTGATTTAACAATTATTTCAAAAACATTCTCTTTTGGGGGAAAAATTAAATAGTCATTCCTTATCACTACAAATTTTAATCCAAGTCTTTGAAGATTTTCAGCAATTTTTAAAAAAGAAAAAGACTGATAGCATTATTTTTAAGTGTGATGATTTAAGTGTGCAGTTTGCAACAGGTTTTTTAATAAAACAAAACCCCCTCATTCCTTTAATTATCTATACTTTAAAAATAATAGTCATAATTCACATTTGCATCAAAGGAAAGTCTTAAAAGAGCTCAAAACTTCCTGTTGGCATTGTACTTTGCTATACTTTTATTTTTCTTAATTAAGTAATACTATTGATCATAATTAAGTGGCATTTCTCATTAGATTATTTGTAGTGGAACCATTACAAATATAAGGAACTAAGAAGTACTAATTTCAGCCTTTGTTTGGAATTAAATGCCTCCTTTTATATGTAACGTTACAAGCTTTACAATTGTGCACACAGTTGGTAGCTTTTATCAAGAAAATTGGTTCAGAAATGCCTTCAACAAACAGTACATACCTTGTTGTTGTTGTTGTTAAGTGCTGTCAAGTCGCAGGCGACTCATAGGGACCCTATGAAGGAGAGTCCTTGACGCTTGGGTGACTTTCCTCCTGTCTTCAAGTTCATAGGGTTTCCGGAGGCAAGCTATTATGGAAGTGGATGCCACTCCTTCCACGCTTGTTTAATCAGGGAGCTCCACCCCACTCTCTGTTCGCATTGTAGCCAACCATTAACTCATTTGACACATCCATGTCACAGGGTTCAGCCTCATAGCAACTACAAGCGACCGCGGGAAGGCAGCTTGTACACCAGGGCTATACGACCTAGAGGATATTTGAATTTATTTTTCTATGGAATTATATAGTTTGAGTTTCTATTACTTTCTAGCATTTTATTCTCATTTGTCTTATTAATGTAAAATATGTCATGAAAATTAATCTATGTATTTTCTTTACTTTCTTAGGCTTTAGCTATGGGAATGATGACAGAATACTATCATTATATCTTCACCACTCTGGTAAGTAATTTAATAAAAGATTAAGCTAATGCTATAAATTATAACTTTTTTGCCTTAAGCGAATTCTGAGTGAGAAGTAGTGTTATGTTTGTAAAATATTTTATTTTGATAAAATTAATAAGGAATTATTGGAGAGAATGGTTAAGTAATAAGATTATTTTGAATATTTCTGATATAAATTAAAAATGTTATGGGTCTGATTTTATATTGTTTAGATACCCTTCAGTACATAATAGGAGAGTTTTGCATTGTTTTTCTGAGAAAATGTTTTAGAGAAGTAGAAATTCTTTTATTGTTACATCAGTTCAATTCACTTATGAATGATATTTTTTGATATTTTGATATTTATTGATGATAACCTTTAGGTAGATTAAATATTCTAACCTACTTTTTACCCCTGTTGATTTTTTAAAAAAGTCAATATGCATGTTTTAATTTTTCATTGTTGTTGATTGCCTTGAGTCCAACAGGACTCATAGTGACCCTATGAACAAAAGACCTGAATCCCCTCTACAGCTATCAACATTTATCAAAGTTCATAGCGTTTCCAGAGGCAAACTGTTTAGGAAGTGGATGCTACTGCTACTTAATTAGGATGTTGAATATTACCTTTATATTTAAAGATCTACCATGCAATTTTTCCCTTAAATGCACAAATTCTTCTTCTTAAACCAAACCTAATTACTCTTAGCTTTATTTCTTTAGCAATGCATTGTCTTGGAATTCCATCATGTGTGAGATTTCTACACTTCCAACTTGGGTATTCCTCAATTAAAACAATATTTCCCAATTTTGTTGATCTTTTCAATTTTCTTTTGATAAGATTTGTTATAAATGCCTGTTATTACTTTAGTTCAAATGATGTTCAAATCTTGATGTCTAGCTGAAATTTTCATTATTGATGTCTCTCAATCCTTCCTTGTAAGGAATAGTCTGTCCTTATAAGACATATTTGTGCATTCTTCTTGAAGCACATATTTTCAATATTCTTTGCTAACTCTGTAATTCAGACACTTAAACTCTTCCTTTTTAATTGGTTTTAAATCAGTCACTTCTATAAATTTTATTTTATTACATTGAACATCATTATTTACAATGTCATTTATTTATTAAATCCTCTCTGAACATTCACTTTCCTTTCCCCCTAACTGTCCTCTGCTTCTTCTCCTTCCCCTTCCATCCCTGTTAATGCTCCATGATTGTTTCTATTTCTGTATAAACCTTTCCTTTCCTTCCTTGCCCCTAATACACTCAGTTGTTCAAATCCAGTTCCAGATGGTTAATTGTAATACACACAGTATCCGATTGACCATTTATTTCAGATTGATCTTCCCTTCACTTGTTCCAATGTAGTATTCATTATCTATTCTTTTACTGTTCTATCAGCCCCTGCCCTTATAACTATCATGTCATTTTTATAACAGTGGTTTTATACAACATCTGCTTTTAATTCCTGTTGGAGTCTTTCTACCTCTTTCTATTTAATTTTGACTGCCATGTTTATTTATTTAGCTTTTGAATCTATCCCCTTCACTGAACTACAAACATTGAAAGTGTATGTTCTCTTTATGTATGTTTTTTTCACAACACAGAATATGACTCAGAACAATGCCGAGTGTCTACCTCTGACTTTTATCTTTGTTATCTGGAGGAGTATAACTCTCTGGATAAGGGTCCAGCTATGACCAGGAGCAGCAGCATTAGTCTTGCCCTGATTTTCAATGTTGTGTTTAAGATTTGAGGATTAGCTAATGCTTGTTGGAATGAAGGCAACATTTTCACATTTTGGATCTTCTAATTATGACATCACATTCCCCTATGAACATTGGTCTCATATCATTTGAGAAATACAAAGGAAAAAACAGAGTCACTGGATATTCAGTGGGAAGGCACTCTGTATGTAAAGTACATTTTGGAGAAGTTTTTGAATAGGATGCAAGACAACGAATATTTCTGCAATCAGAAAGGCCACTGTTGTTAACCTTTTTCCCCCCTCACAGATTCATTAAAGGCTTCATTAGTTAGAAGTTCTATTTCATGACTTACAGTTTAAACAAAACATAAAAGATCTAGCCATAGTCAATGAAGAACTTTTAAAAAATAATAATAAAAGAGAGCCTTACAGTCAATCACTTGTGAAAAGTGAAAGGTTATTTAAATTCTCAGAGGAAATTATTCCTAAAGAGAGGCTATAAAAGAGCATGATATTTCTTGGGTTGAACAGAAATGTTCTATATACATATGCATTTATGTATGTTGTTGTTGTGTACTATCAAATCAAGACTGACCCGTACTTGACCCTCCAGTGGGTTTTCAGAGGCAGTTAGTTGCCAACACAATACTGTTAATTATTCAAATTAAAATAAAAATAAGATTATTTCAGTAATGCATGCATATTTAATTTACTCAGTTGATAATAATACAAAGAAATTTGTCTTTTAGGATCTCTTCGCACTTGATGTAGAGCCCTACCGATACAGTGGTGTTAACATGACAGGGTTCAGAATATTAAATACAGAAAATACCCAAGTCTCCTCCATCATTGAAAAGTGGTCAATGGAACGTTTGCAGGCACCTCCGAAACCCGATTCAGGTTTGCTGGATGGATTTATGACGGTATGAATAACCATTTCCAATTCAGTTTGTTTATTTCTAAATAGTCATTTATAAATTATTAAATTCTCAGGATCTAAAATTTGGTTTAATTTTTTTTTTACATTAAAGGCATGATATCAGAACTATTATTGCATGTATTGCTGTTATTACAGGTATTTCAGTCAGTTTTGTATAGTACATTTGTATGATACTTTGACCAAAATATCTCAAAAGCCTGAAAATTATTACAGGAATAATACAATACAAAGCTTTTTTCTAAAATTAATTCTTTATTTTAGAATTTATCCTAAAATTTATTATATTAATTAATTATATGAAGTAAACTAGAGATTGACAAAACTAACTTGATGGTTTTCCTTGTTACTTCTTTATGTTGGTTTCTGTTGACTTATAAATATAGCAGACTCATTTATACAAGGGAGCTCGATGGCTTAGTGGTAAAAGAGTCATTCTGTCAACTCAAAGGCATGCAGTTCTTATCCACCTACTGCTTTGCAGGAGAAAGATGAGTAAAGCTTTCTCCCGTGTGAGTTATAACTTCTGAAAACCTGCGGGAGGGTCAGCTATGGGTCAGTGCTGACTTGAATTTACACAACAACACAGATTGTCATACAAAAATTTTCCTAGAACTTATCATCCTTAAAGGTCAAGACTTTCCAACTTTCACTTGTTATTTTTAGATCTCATTTACTCTGTTGTTGTGTTGTTATGTGCTGTCGAGTCGTTTGCGACTCATAGCGACCCTATGTACAACAGCCCCAAACCCTGCTCTATCCTGTGCCAATTACATTTCCTCTAGAAACTTTTATTTGCAATATATATTGTAAAAAGACAATTGTTCTTGTATAATTTAATTCTTGGTTAAAATATTGGTGTCCATTGAAATATAAGGATAGTTACTTTAGCATTCTATGTGTATATTCTATAATATAGCAGTTGCTGTATTAAAAACCAAAAGAGAAAGAAGCTGTAAAAGTTGCGCAGTGTGTTTCTTATTGGGCTGCTAACTGCATGGTCAGTAGTTTGAATCCACCGGCTGTTCTGAAGAAGAAAGAGATAATCTCCTCCAAAAAATATTGAATGAGCCTTGGTAGCATAGTAATTCACTTTTAGAGAGTTAGTCTGACTCAGGACTTTGTTTTCTGCAAGTGTAGATTTGTAATGAGGCAGACTTGAATCAATAAACTGTTCCAGATGAGACTGTTGATGTGAGTTTAGTTTGGTGTTTGGAATACAATTTGTTGCATGGCTTCAGGAAACAATAGATATAATAATAAGTTGTAAGAAAGCAGTACGGGTTTGGCTTCTGTTCAAGGCAAGAGTCTACCTTTGTTCTACACTTCTTTTATGTCATTAGTTATAAAATAGCAAATAACTTAGTGGGTGCATAAATTAGAGGAAGAAAACACAATGATTTGGCCCTTTATGGAAAGTTGTGGGCATTGTAAAAAAGACAATAATTTTTTAAATATCTAGAAGAATACTCAACTTTAATACTATTTAATATTCTATTTCATGAAAAGTCTGCCAACTGACATATTCAATAAGGATAATCTTTTATATATAGGAGATGATTATTCTTCATGTATGTATTTTTTTAATTTTAGACACTATAAGACACAAAGATTAAACCAGAAAATACATAAAAGAACATTTTAAAATGAATGGGTTAAAGACACTTCCTCAAACAAGAACTGTTTTAATAAAAGTTCCTGTTTAAGCTTTAGTACCACCTATTAATTTGCATAGGGCAGAGGCCTCCTGTTTTGTTTCTTTTTTTTTTTTTAAAGAGGACATGATGTTTGTCATCAAGTTTTGTTTTTTTCTATATGTAGATTGCTTATTTGTCAAAATTTCATATTTTTGAGATAAATAATGTATTTGTCCTTTTTTAGAGGAGATAATTTTTCATAACATTAATTCTTAATATACATCACACATATAAAACTATTATGAAATATGTATTATGTTATGTATACCTTACAATTATTATTTTTCTTCATTTAACATCATATAATATTTTTCCTAAATTATCAAGTGCTTAGAGAATAAAATAAGGCTATTTTTATTGTGAATAGAATCAGGAAATTAAGAAGATTCAGATTAGAACTAACACAAACCAAAATACACACAAAAAGAATTCTAGCCTGCCATTGAAGGCATTAGCAGTAATCTTTTCAGTCAATTCATGGTATTTCAATGTTTATGTACCTCTTGTTCTCTCCTCCTCCAATTTGTCCCATAAAGAAATGAGATGAGATTATTAGCCAAGTCTCTAGTGCTTGGAGTGAGACCTGTTATTATCACTATCATAGTCATTAGTCTTATGTAAGATCATAGTGCTTATATTTTCACATTCTTTCTTTATATTTGTGCTATAAAAGGAAACAATGAATCTGTTTAGTAAGAGTTTTTATTCTGGTTGAAATAGCACCTCAGTTGAACCTTGGGTGAACTGTTTGCCAGCCAAATGGCTGTAGAATAAATAGTCACATCTCTGGAAGCCATAGTTTATTCTTTTATGGTATCTGTTGTTGTTATTGTTCTAGGTCCAGAATACTAAGCATGTTTATCAATAACTCAGCAATTTCTTGTACCCTCACCTAGAAACTTGACCAAGAAATCAAGTCATGCACCACATCCAAATTCAATCTAGCCAAGTAGAATATGGGAAACCTAATCCATTTGTTCTTTTATAGATGATAGACAGATAGATAGGTAGGTAGGTAGGTAGGTAGGTAAGTAAGTAGGTAGGTAGATAGAGAGACAGACAGATAATTTGTTATATGATTTTGATTCACACAGTCAAATGCCTTTGCATAGTTAATAGAACACAGATATACATTCTTCTTGTGCTCTCTGCTTTCCACCAGGATCCACCTGGCATCATCAGTGATATCCCTGGTGCCACTGCCTCCTCTTGAACTTCTAGCAGTTATCTGTCAGTGTACTATTCTAGACAATATTTTGTTTGCAAGAAATTAATGATATTATTATATAATATGTGCATTCTATTGGATAATCTTTCTTGGGAATGGTAACAAATATGGATCTATTGGAGTTAGTCAGAGAGCCAGACAGACAGGCAGCTACCCTCCAAATTTCCTGACATAGACAGGTGAGCACAGCCAAAGCTGCATCTGTTAGTTGAAACATGTCAATTGATATTTAATTGATTCTTGGGCATTTTTTTTTACCAGTGCCTTCAATTCAGCTTAAAGTCCATCCTTTACTACTATTGACTTTTGTTCATATGATTCTTCTTGAAATTTTTCAGCATCAACTTATTCTTTTTTGATACAATTACTTTGTGTATTCCTTTCATCCTCTTGATGCTTCCTGGATCATTGATGATTTTGCTTATAGCCTCTCTCAGTGTTGCAACTCGAGGCTTGAATTTGTTTTTTAGTTCTTTTGATTTGAGAAATGCCAAGCAAGTTCTTATTTATTTTATTCTCTGACTCCAGCTCTTTGCAGGTTTCATTATAACATGTTGTCTATTTTTCTGAGCTATCCTTTAGTTTAACTTTCCTTTTCTCGTAGGGCTCTAAGCTCTTTTGTTGTTGTTGTGTTCTGTCAAGGCAGAACAGACTCATAGCTGACCCTCCAGAGTATTTTCAGAGGCAGAAGAAAAGGACCATGCATTCTCCTTGAGTTCCTTCATCTAGTTAAGTGACTAATGCAATATGTTGTGTTATTGTGTACTGTTGGTCAGAACCCATTCATTGCTGAGGCAGTTAATTGCATGGGAGGAGGTGTTCACAATGACAGTGATTTTATGCTGAGATAAATGTATGCTCATTTGTATTAATCATATTAGATTTGTGTTCTCATTTCCCTAAATATACTCACCAGAGCAATTTTAGCTACCTATTTAAGCTATATTACCAAGATACTTGAGCAATTGGAAAATTAAATTAAGGAAGACCTGTATATTTGTTAGAAAAAAAAATCTTAAAACCCCATTTGATTACATAATGAAAGTTTACTGAATGAGTCGAGTACCTTGTCATTCTCTTTTATGAAGATTGGAGAATGTTTAGAACCTTTAAATCACAATGTTTCCCATAATAACTATCTTTCACTATTTTGTTATCCTAAATCAACATCATTTACGCACATTTTACCATTAGGAGTTAGGTTCTGTACTACCCTCTGTTATTGAAAAGAAATATTTGCCTTTAGAAAAGTTAAAGAAAATAAGGCAATGGAGAGATAAAGTATGAACAGACATATTTTATTTACCACTAAAACTGGAAGTCTTCCCTGGTGCCTAGCTGCCTGTATTAATTAGATTAAGCTATTTTCTTCAATACATCTGAAATGGGAAAAAATATAAGATTTGTCCAGGCACTAATTCTAATTCACCATTATAAAATCAGTAATAACATTTTAAAAAATATTTCTCATATTCCACTAAAATAGCAAAGGAGCATTAAGATAGCAACAAAATAATTAATCTCCCCTTCCTGAATGAATTTTTATTTTATGTTTACCTCCTTCTGAGCACTTAGTATTTGGTGGGGAAGGCAACAGTTTCATGTACTCATAGCACTTGAAAAACTGAAAAATTCTAAAGATTGATTCCAAAGAATGATTTTCTTTTTTTTAGAAAAAGATTAATAAAATACTGGTTTCAGTGAAGCAGAGGTTAAAAGTATCCTGTTTTCCAAACTGCTGTACCTCTCTATCATCTTTAACATAAACTGTTTCTCCTCCCTTCAGCATTCTTGCTACTATCTGTGTCTTAGATTCTAGAAATTACTACTGCAATGCCACACAGAAGCTCAACAGTTTTCAAGGAAATCGTTCATATGGTTGTAGAAGCTGGCTAGTCTCAAATTCATGAATCAAGCTCTTCACAAGGTGTCTGCCAGCAGCGGCAACTTGACTTATGAATAATACAGGCCAATGCCCATGATTGCAAAGGCTGGTGAATGATGAGCTGGGCACTTGCAGTCTGTAGTTCTCAGATCAAGGGGATCAAGTTAGATGCAGTG